ACTTGCAGCGGTTTTGTCATCTATCAAGTGTTTTTTGTCTATATTTCAGTTATTTTCAATAGTTCAGCACTTATGAAAAGTGACTAAAGGTAAAGACTAAGTAAGGGATAACGTATATTACGCAGGTCATTATCGGAAAATAAGTACCGACAGTACTTATTTTCCGATAATGACCTGCGTAATATACGTTATCCCGCTTATTATACGGCTTTATACCAACAGAACACACAACATAAACTTCAGTCCACTTTTAGGAATGCCGAAAGGTTTATTTAATGACAGAAAATAAAATAATTCCCAAAGGCTTTCCCGTGGCTATGCTAGCAACAGTTAGGCTGGCAACTTCCAAACTAGAACTCTCTGGAACTGCATGAAAACTGAACAAAGAACTGAACATCAGCGGTGAGTGACCCAAACATAAACCTAACCTAAATCCATAATTCAATCCTCTGCAAATGTGTCCGAAAATGTGCCGGTATCTTAAAATGTGCCGGTATCTACTTTTTCGGGATCGTCTTTTCTCGCATTACATCAGTGTTTTTGTCATGAAAACGTAAACGGAAAATTCTGAAAACTTCCTTGCACTTGTATTAAGACTGGATATGTATAAATTACTCTCCGATTAACATATCATTGCGTTGATTGATTGGCATTTGCGTTTATTGAGCGGCCGGAACTACTTCCGGGTTTTTCAAGATCGCTTTTTGACGCAGAGAAATAGTATTTTTGTCATGAAGACAAGACCAGAAAATTCTGAAAATCACCGTGCACGTGTGTGAAGAAAGTATATGTATAAGTATTCTCCGATTAACATTTAAGTGTGTTGATTGAGCGTGGCTAGCTCCGGAGTGGCCGGAACTACTTGCGGAGTTATCCACGCATTTGAAATACAAGCAGAGAGTGTGTTGCCAAAGGGCAGCGGTCATTATTGTTTTGAGAGGTCCGTTATAGAAAATAATGACCGGTAGAACGTTTTGAAATTACATTCAAATTAATGGAGCGTTCTACTGCTGCTGTGAGGAGCCGTATAATAAAAGGCAATATATTTTACCTTTTAGACTAAAAACTACAACAACATTTCTTGGGGGAATTTCTCAGAATTCCATTGGTTTGAATTGGAGCAGTCAAAATGACGGCTCTGGGAGTTTTAGTAGGCAAGGCAAGGCAAGTTTATTTATATAGCACAATTCATACACAAGGCAATTCAAAGTGCTGAACAAAACAAGAAAGCATTAAAATCATAAATAATCACAGAACATTAAAAAGAAAGATACAAATATAAAATCCCTCAGTTGCATGCACAGCTAAACAGAACTGTCTTTAACCTGGTTTTAAACATTGTCAGAGAGGAGGCCTGTCTCACATCTTCAGGAAGACTGTTCCAGATTTTAGCAGTATGAATCTGAAAAGCAGCCTCCCCATGTTTAGTTCTGACTCTGGGCACTAACAGGAGTCCAGTCCCTGTGCTCCTCAGAGTCCGGGCTGGTTGGGACTAACATGTCACTAATATATTTTGGTGCGAGGCCATGGAGAGACTTGTACACAAGCAGAGCTGTTTTAAAGTCTATTATCTGAGCCACAGGAAGCCAGTTCAGAGACCTGAGGACTGGACTAATGTGGTCGTACTTCCTGGTTCTAGTCAGGACTCGAGCTGCTGCATTTTGAATGTACTGCAGCTGTTTTACAGCCTGTTTGGACAGACCTGTGAGCAGGCCATTGCAGTAGTCTAACCTACTGGAGACAAATGCATGGATAAGAATCTCCAAGTCTGCTTTAAACACTATGTTTTTGATCCTGGCAATGTTTTTTAGATGGTAAAAAGCTGCTGATGTTACTGATTTGATGTGGCTATTAAAATTTAAGTCTGAGTCCAGTATTACCCCTAGATTTCTGACCTTGTTTGAAGGTTTTAGGGAGAGACACTGGAGTTCAGTTTTGTCTGCGTTTAGCTGAAGGAAGTTGTTTTGCATCCACTCACTGATCTGTTGGATACAGTGAAGGAGTGAGTCCACTGGTCCATGTTCTCCTGCAGTCAGTGAGACATAGATCTGAGTGTCGTCTGCATAGTTGTGATAGGACACTTTGTTTCTGCGTATTAACTGACCTAACGGCAGCATGTAAAGATTGAACAGAAGAGGTCCCAGGATCGAACCCTGTGGTACTCCACAGGTCAGGGCCATATGATCTGAGACACAGTTTCCAATCTCCACAAAGTACTTCCTGTCTTCAACCAACTTAGGGCGGTGCCAGCGACTCCAACCCAGTCCTCTAGTCTCTGTAAGAGGATCTCATGGTCGACAGTGTCAAAGGCAGCACTTAGATCTAACAAGATTAAGATTGAGACTTTGCCTGCGTCAGTGTTCAGCCGGATATCATTTGTAACCTTGACGAGAGCAGTCTCAGTGCTGTGGTGGGGTCTAAAGCCGGACTGAAACATATCAAATGAGTTGTTGATTATAAGAAATCTAGTAAGCTGTAGGTAGACAACTTTCTCAAGGACTTTCCCCATAAATGGCAGATTTGAGATGGGACGATAGTTGTTAAGTACCGTAGCATCGAGACTGCTCTTTTTTAGCAGGGGCCTGATGACTGCAGTTTTCAGGGCCTTTGGGAATATTCCAGAATGAAGGGACATAGTAGTAGTTTAAAATTCTGAGAGTGCTTGTGTTAGTAACAGGTACTTTACTGATCAGATATCAATATTAGTCAATTCTAGCATCGAAGATAGAATTCACTGAAGCGACTAGATTAGAAAAGCATATTCAGTCCAAGGAATTGAGAACAGGTGAAAATTAGATAATAACCAATATTTTATTTTGACCAAAAATGTACATCAGGAGTTGGACATTTTTAGGAGACTTTGATCTTTTTCATAATAATTTATATATAATGTTGTATCATACTCTTGAATGCTCTGGAAACAGCGAGTCCTGAGTCGCTCTGACACAGTTGTTTTGTGTTTTACAATCATTATTTTGTTTCTTTCCTTTTTTTCTATCCTTAAGTGTTCATGGTTTTACACTGATCTAGACCAGAGCAGAGGATGGTCCCAACCAAACAGATCAAGCGGATATCCACTGGAAATTTGCCTTTTTTTATTTCTTTTTTTTTTACAAATAAAGCATCCAGCATTTCACTCTGAACCAGAGCAGATAAAATGGTCCAAACCCAGAGCTGTCCTGCTCCACTCTGCTCTCCGTCACAGATGCTAACCCCAATTGTTTCGCTGCACATGTGACGCAGGCTGCAGCATACCTCCACTCACTTCCTGGAAGCCTGCATGAATTTACAAAAGTAGTCGTCATGGAAAAGTTGAAACACTCACGATCTTCCTCGAGCTCTCTGTGTCGGCCGAGAGTGCACTCCAAAGCATCTGGCTTGAATCTTGGAATCAGTCTGATTTAGCAAATGTGGTGAGTTACTTTGGCATACTTGCGTTCTATAAATATTTAGCCGTTATGGGGCTGTAAAGGAGACATTTTAGGTGGAAAGGCTGTTGGAACGTGCCAAGGTTGCAGGTGCGTTGGAACCGTTTAAAACTCACCATGTGGGATTCCCAAACTTAGCTGCAAGTGTTGAGCCAAAGCAGATCTTTGCAGGAACACACTGTCCAAACCATTTCAAGATGTAATTCTTCATGTACATGACGTGTCAGTATCAGATTAGGTCAAACGTCTGTAGTTATTATTTTATTATTTAGTGATTTGTCAGATGATCAGAATGGAACAAAATCAAGGTCTGATTCAACGCTCAAAGTGTCGTCGTGAGGGTCCCACTCTGGTGCCCGGATCACGAGGGAAAAAGACAACAACCGGGCTGTGCAGTTAGCCTGGTCTTATCATACCATTGTCCTCATTTCATTTCGTACTTAGATCTGGATTTGCTTCATTGAGCTCTGTCTACAGGTGGAAGGGCTTAACTTCTTTCGCAGATTGAAACGACTGGATCTGAGTTTACCCTGATCTATGTATTGCGCCCGAGTAAGTAAGTAAGTAAGTAAGTAAGTTTTTATTTATATACCGCCTTTTCACTGCAGATCTGAGTCTCAAAGCGGTTTACAATTGTTAATTTTGGGCATTTGTCTCTCACTCCACACAGAGATGGGAGCGGGGCCAGTACAGGAGGCGCATGCCAGAACTATTGGACATATTTTTAGTGGTAGGGGAAACCGGAGCACCCGGAGGAAACCTACGCAGACACGGGGAGAACATGCAAACTCCACTCAGAAAGGCCCTGGTCCGACCGGGATTCGAACCCAGGACCTTCTTGCTGAGAGGCGAGAGTGCTATCCACTCAGCCACCGTGCTGCCCGAGTGAGTGAGGCCTTTAGCATTTAGCCTAGCTTTAACATTCAGCCTAGCTTTAGCCATCTCCTTTGCCACTAACAGAGCCCGTGAGGAGTAGAGCCACATCTTTGCAGCAATGACATTTGCTAAACATTCCCCGTGCTCCGGCTTCAATTTCTTGATATTTTGAGCCGAACCAGAACAGATTGGAGGTCTCCCTTTGCTATCGCATTCTCTGCCATTGCCAAACTACAACCATCCTACAACACTTACCTACAACACCCGCCTCCCACGCTCACTGAATGGTTAGAGGGGATTCAACCGAGGGAACCGCAGCCACTAGGATCAGACCCAGACGTACATGTAGGGAAATGATAATTGACCAGAGTTTACGAATGTCTAAGGCCAGACTACTGAAGGTGTATATAGACCATAAAGAAAAGCAGTTGGCTGTGGAGTGGGAGAAGGAAACTAATGCCCCTGTCTCTAGAGAAGCATTAGACACATTTCCCATTTCATCTTACTCTCATGTAGTAAACACAGCCAGGAATAATGTGACTGGATTATGTCCATGTGCGGCTCCGAGAAGCTCCCTGCACTTCAGACTTTGAGGGAACAAGAAAATGGAATGTCCAGGCCAAAGTAAGCATATCAGAGTGCAACAAGATCCTCTTCCTCTGGACAGCAGGGCCATCTGTCCTGAGGAGCAGCTTGTTATTGCACTGGGCTCCGTCTCCCACACTTGTGCTCGTACACAGGCAAAGCATCCTGTTTATGTGGCCGTGGCTGCTCCGGGGACAGAGGGAGGGGTTGCACAGGTCCACTGCCCCAACAGCTGTGAGAGGTCCGAGCAGACATGCCGTTCCTCTGACAAACCCCCACCAGCAGCAGGAACATGTGTCTCCCCCCGGCACAAAGCTGCACACTGTACTTTATGATTACCACACCACTCGGGGACTCCAGGTGCCCGGCCAGGACAGGGGGAAACACTGGCCCGCACTGACCCCCGAAGGCCATCTGAGACCATAAATCCATGACCCTGAGTTCCGGAGTGCTTTGGGCAAGGTCGGGGTGGCAAATTTCCCACTTCCACAATATCAGATGTTAACGGTAATTCCTTTTAGCTGATGTGTAATGGCGCAGGAATGTCCTCTCCCCAGTCTCCTCCAGAGCCCTGGAATCTGTTGAAAATGTGGGACAGCTGTGGAAGTGCGCAGGCTGGACGGAGGGGAGCGGGACCAGGGGAGACCAGGGAGCTGGGTGAGGAGCCTCAGGACAAGGGGAGGCAAGGGGAAGACTGGGGGAGGCCGAGGGAGACCAGGGGAGCAGGGTGAAGAGGCTCAGAAGGCAAGAAGGTCCTGGATTCCATCTCCAACACTGACATGAAGAGAACATGCAAATTGGTTTCCTCATGCATGTGTGTGTGAGTGTGGGTTTGCGTGTGTGTGCATGTGTGTTTTCGGTGTGTGTGTGCGTGCATTTGTGTCTTTTGCATGCATGTGTGTGCGTATAGGTGTGTGTGCATGCATGCCTGTGTGTGCGTGCATGTATGTGTGTCTTTGCGTACATGCGTGTGCCTGCGTACATCTATGTGTGTGTTTGCGTGCATGTATGAGTGTGTGCGTTCATGTGTGTGTGTTTGCGGGTGTGTGTGTGCATTCGGGTGTGTTGTGTGTGTGTGCGTGCATGTGGGTGTGTCTTTATGTACATGTGTGTGCCTGCGTACATCTATTTGTGTGTTTGCGTGCATGTATTAGTATGTGTGTTTGTGTGTGCGTTCATGTGTGTGTTTGCGGGTGTGTGTGTGTGTGTGTGTATACGTTCATGTGTGTGTTTGCGGGTGTGTGCGTGCATTCGGGTGTGTGTGTGCGTGCATGTGGGTGTGTCTTTGTGTACATGTGTGTGCCTGCGTACATCTATTTGTGTGTTTGCGTGCATGTATTAGTATGTGTGTGTGTTTGCGTGCATGTATTAGTATGTGTGTTTGTGTGTGCGTTCATGTGTGTGTTTGCGGGTGTGTGTGTGTGTGTGTATACGTTCATGTGTGTGTTTGCGGGTGTGTGCGTGCATTCGGGTGTGTGTGTGCGTGCATGTGGGTGTGTCTTTGTGTACATGTGTGTGCCTGCGTACACTATTTGTGTGTTTGCGTGCATGTATTAGTATGTGTGTGTGTGTGCGTTCATGTGTGTGTTTGCGGGTGTGTGTGTGTATACGTTCATGTGTGTGTGTGTGTTTGCGGGTGTGTGCATGTATGTGTGTGTGCGTTCATGTGTGTGTGCGTGCATGTGTGTGTGCGTCCGTGTGTGTGTGTTGGGAGGAGGAGGACCCCTGGACAGAGGCAGATATTGAGTGAATCTGTGAGGACTCCACGGTGATTATGTCCTAATGCCATGAAAGTGAAGTTAGGGATTACTAATTGGATTAAATGGAGCCAGTGACATATATTGCACTTTTCACTGGTCAGAGCTTGTAATCTGACTATTTCTGTAGGAAGCTCTCGCACTGAGGAGACACAGACTTTTTCTTCTTCAGTCTCCAAAGTGGATCAATTCACCTGCGATCAAACCCTCTATGGCTTCAAACACTCACACACTTTACATGTGAAAATGCAGGAGATTATTTTCTGTAAAGTTTACACACAAAAACAAGTGTTAATGTGACTCAGAAAGAGTTGAATTTAAGTTAATTCTACACCAGAGTAGCGGGTGTGTATCACTGCTGCAGAGTTGAATTTGTCACTTTTAACTCTGATCTGATTTCACTCTGATCCACAACTTTACTCTCATAATGAAGAAGATACGGGTTAATATAACTTTATTCTGAAATGATGTATACTTGTATGATCCACACTTTTATTCTCTGTATTTGCCACTCATCAGCCCTCCCCAATATTGTTTGTTATTGAGTGCTTTCATATTATGATTATTTTTAAGTGAAAATGATGGCCTTTTTGACCCTGAAGACATGCACAAAAAGTCTCACACATGGGGACGCACGTCACCTCTATATTTTTGACCCATGATTAGGTCAAAAGGTCACTGTTTCAGAACCCAATATCACACATACTTCATATTCTAATTATACATTTGAAATGGGGAATGTGTGTAAATGAACAACTTTCTGTTCTTTAAAAAAAGTATTTGAGAAAACAAAAAATAAGTTTAAAAATGAGGAGGAAACACTTGTTAGATTATGAATTTTGTTCTTTGTGCTTCTCAACTGCTTCTGGAATCTTTCTTTCAGTCATGTATCATGGCTGAAAGAAAGAAATAAGACTTATTGTAGGTTCGCCAAGTCTTTTTCTGTAAACGCCTCAAATCAAGCCCCTCTTGCATCACTGGGGTTAGTTGGTGGTGGCTCATACCTGTGTACCCTGATACCCTGTGGGGGTGGTGCCCTGATACCCTGTGGGGGTGGTGCCCTGATACCCTGTGGTGGTGGGGGTACCCTGATACCCTGTGGGGTTGATACCCTGATACACTTTGGGGGACATACCTTGATGCCCTGAAGGGGTGATACCCTGTGGGGGTGGTACCCTGATACCCTGTGGTGATCAGTGGTGGCTGAGGACAGGAGCAGTAGAGCAGATAGTGTTTCTGCCTCTCTTCACACAGAGGCCTCTTTGTTGGGTCTAAGAAAGGCTTTCGTCCATTGGGAGGTAATCCCAGACCAGTACCTCGCTCTAGCCCCTGGTCCCAATCGTGACCCGCGATCGGAAAGAGCTCTCAGCCGTGGCCCCCTGCCCGCGGCCCCCTGCCTGCGGCAGCCAGTGCAGCGGTGATAGCATTTCAAGGCGACACGAAGACTCTTGATATTTGAAGGCAGGAGAAGGTGGAAGAACACGGTAAAAGCAGGTAATGCTGCCAGGGAAACAGCAGACACTTCTTTGATTACTCGAGTGAGCGGGAGAAGGAGATTGTGGCTTAGAAATCCTTGTTATCGTCTCAGTACCAGTCTCAACAGCAGGTCAAAACCCTTCAGTTGTATGCACAGCTAAACACCAGACTCATTCTCTTAACCCTAACCCTAACCCTAACCCTGTGGGTGAAGTTTGGCGCTCCCATCACAGTACTAACCAAGTCTTGCCCTGCACTGCTTCAGAGGTCTGACGGGATCTGGCTCTGCTCTTTAGTTGGGCGTCCACTTTAGTTGAGCAGGTCACAAGAAAACGACCAATCAATAGTCTCAAATCCACGTGATCCATTCATGGCACCCTCACAGCAGGGTGCCATGAATGGATCACCCTGCAGCTCCTTCAGTTGGAGAATCAGGTGTAAATGTGAGCTTCAGAATGATTCAATCGTTCCTGATGCCTCAAGATGATTTATTGAGTAAATGTGTGATTTGTATCGTGTGTGAAACCATCAACATACTGTGTTTGGACAACAGAGTAATTACAAACGATCAATGACATTTTGATCCGTCTTTCTATCTATCTATGGATTTTCTTTTCAGTCAAAGTTGAGAATTCTTTTGGCTGAGATATTTTCTGACGTCATACACTGATCCAAATGAATACAAATCTGATGAAGGAGTGAAACCAAAAAAAGAAACAAATTTGTAATTTGGCCTGAGTCCTGGATCTTCAACCCGTTTGGGGGGGGGGGGCCTTCCCGATGTTTCTCACTTTTCCTCCACTGGGTTTTTGGAGTTGTTCCTCTCTGATGTAGGAGGGTCTAAGGACAATGGTGATGATCCAGGACACTCCACATTCAACGAAATCGATGGATGGTCACCAATCAATGGCTATATTTTTTTGAACATTGCTCAAGTTAGCTTTGAAAAGTCCTCTGAGACTGATGTTGTGATTTAGGGCCAATAATAAACAAAAATTGAACTTAAATGATCAAAGTCCGCCCCGTCGCACATATGTCCTGCTGCTCTGGTCCATACAGAGCATTCTTGGAGGACCACACCCACGATCTTTGTAAAGGACATTCCTGTGTGTTGTGGAGGATCCAGTTGCTGCTAATCCTTTTGCAGAGCATCACCTGATCCCAGCGGAGAGGAGCTCACGGCCCTCACCACCAACACCACCGCCATGTGAATGTAGGGGCCATAAACACACAGGCACTAAACATATAGATAGATAGATAGATAGATACACAAACAAAACAAATACATGGATCGTTTTTAAAAAGCAAACAATAATAACAATAAAATACTTCACTTCAGGTCACAGCAGCAGAGGTGTAGCCGCTTGGTTCGAACCATTTTCTTTGCTCTGGTCCAAAGTAAAATGCTTCATTAGCATTTTCCAAAAAAGTTAGCATTCCTCAAGAGGATTTTCACCTGGTCCGCTTGGTTTGGACCATGAATCCTCTCTGCTCTGGTCTGGACCAGTGCAAAACCATGAACACTGTACTGCAGCAACATCTCAGGCAGAATAAAAGCAAGAGAAATATAAATTGTAAAGCAAAAAACAACAAGTGTTTAAGAGCTACTTAAGATTTGCTGCCGTTTTCCAGCACATTCAAAAGTGTCCTTCTTCCTGAAAATGTGAGACAGGCTTCTCCTCTGACAATGGAATATATTTATTCTGTGATTATTTCAATGTTTTCTTGTTTTGCTCAGCACTTCAGGTTGCCTTGTGTATGATTTGTGCCATACATATTTACTTGCCTTGACTTTTACTATTATGAAATCTCTTCCATGTACCGTTGCATCATCAAGGTAATGTTTTATTTCTGCTGAAGGGTGTGGTAAAGACACGTGGAAAGACAATGGAGATAGAGAAAGAATAGAGAAGAATATGCTTGCGGACTATTGATGTGTCCTGTTTTTTTAGCTAGCACAGCGCATGGTAAGAAACACACGTGTCTGGATCGTAGCCCTGGCACCATTCCTCTCGTTCCACGGTCACACTCATTCACCCCGGAACTTGTTTCAGTGACCCGCAGGAAACCTATGCAGACACAGGGAGAACATGCAAACTCGTTACAGAAAGGCCGTGTGCTATTGTGTTATATTTTGAGGCAGTGGTAACCAAAGTGAGGGCAACGGGACACTAGAAGGGGGTCATGAGGTGATCTCCTGAATGTTTGTTTTTGAGTATTATTTATGTGCCGACCCCAGTCTTGTCTGGTCTGTGTGGTGCTGCTGGTTTCTCCTCCTTTCAGGACTGGCAGCACCTGGAGATGGGTGGCACTGACCACATTTTAAAGTGCTGTCAGGAAGTCATACAGCGTTTTAAATACATATTCTATTTTCGTACAATTTTAAACGTGTGTGGACTCAAATTTTGTCCAAACCTCAAACCAGTTTGTGACATTTACAATTTTTTTCATTACATATATTTAACACAAACATTATTTCTAGCATTATTAAAGCTGCACTAACTGACTTTCTTTTTGTATTCATTACAAAAATGCTATCCATGTTTCGAGTTTTTATGACACAAGGAAGAGAATGTTTTTCGGGTCCAGATTGTGACCAATCACAGCGCACCACTGGCCCTCACTTTAGCAAAAGACAGCTGAGTTAGCAAAACAAGCGGCGGAGCTAACCTGAAGCTTCCTCATCTTCGTCACCGGTTACTGCTTACACAGCGAGACAGCCATCCAAAAGAAAGTCCCGTTCCTCCGCGCTTCCCGGTTCTATCGTTCTATGGTCACGCCATCCACGTTCAAATCCATGTCCATGACTCTATCCATATTGGGAGACGCTAGCTCCGTCAACAACAGTGGGTGTTTGTGGGGGGCGATAGCTTCGTGGGTGCGGGGAGGGGAGCAGAAAGAGCGAGGCCAGCGAGTCCGCGGCTTCAAAATCCCAAAGTCCGTTAGTGCAGCTTTAATATAAACTAGACGAAAGCGCACAATAAATTACAAAACAACATTCAAATGAATTCTGCCTGTAAGTAAGTAAGTAATGTTTATTCATATAGCACATTTTACAGACCAGGGTCACCCAAAGCGCTTTACAATGTTCAGATATTGTTCCAATCATTCCACACACGGTGATGACGGAAGCGAGTCGCCGAACACACTGGACCATCAGCCCCCAATCAACACCATCCATTCACTCTCTCATTTACATTCAGACCTATTGTGCATGTTTTTAGTGGTAGGGGAAACCGGAGCACCCGGAGGAAACCTGCGCAAACACAGGGAGAACATGCAAACTCCACTCAGAAAGGCCCTGTTCCGACCGGGATTCGAACCCTGTTGTGATGCTTTGAATGTCAATTGTTTACATCAGTGGGGGTCGCGAGTTGGTATCATCCTTATTGTGGGTGTCCTGAACTGAAAAGTTTGGGACCCCTGCTTTAAGTATCATTCCATGGAGCTAAAATGCGAGTGCAAAGTAAATACTGTACAATTTCCCTGTTTACTTCTAAAAACATCTGCAGCAGTTTGCTCTGATTTGAAGAGGTGCTAATCGCTGCTGCATGTGAACAAACACTCGGCCAGCGACGCCCCAAGGGTATATTTATAAAGCGCTAAACTGTACGTACAAACTAAAACAGTTCAATGTTTTTCGTTCTTTGTTCTGACTTAAGATAACTACGCATTCAGGAAATATAGATAAGAAATCTCATTTACGTATTTTAAAGGGACAGTAAGTGAAATGCACTGAGCAGTCAAAGTTATTATAATTAAAAACCACATGTCATTCCTCCTGTGTTTGTGTACGCCTTTTTTGAAGTGGAAAGGCTCGAAAATTGAAGTTATTATATGAGGGATATACATACATAAAAATAATATAGATTTAGAATGAAATATCACATACAGCTCCTTTAACTGTTAATTTCATGAACCGTTAACGGGGCTGAATAAATGTGCCTGCATATGTCAAAATATGAAATAAATGATAATTAAATGAATAAATCAAAGTGAAGTCATCCCTGGACAATCAGACCACATGCTGAGGACTGAGAATCTCGGCCAAACAGATGCACCAGCAGCACATTTGATTTTCAGATCCTCGAGTGAAACTGCCGACGCACAATAGCTTCAACAGAAAACCATTCATACAAACTGTGGCTACTGCGAGTAACACATGAAAGCCACGACTTCCACGAGCCCTGACCTGAACGAGACCTTCACAAACACAGTGTCGAACATACTATATCTTAAAAACAATCACAACAAAAGAAGAACATATGAACCTGAACCTTGTGATTTCTTTCTCTATAAGTGAGCATTCTTCTCCTCACGCAGAGTTCCTCAGAGTTCACGGTCCCCATTATCAGATGCCAGAGAGCGTGCTCGCCTGGAAACTGCATATCTGATTACTGCTTACAGATGCCGATGAGCCGTAATGTCAAATCAGGATTCGAAACGAGCACGAGGCCAAAAGCGCGGTGGAAATTGCTAATGAAATGTTGGCAGCAGAACTCGTACGGTACGTCTCATTAGCGTGTACTTTACAGCTTTGTGTGAGGCACCGGGTCATGTTTGGGCCCAGACTTTATTGTCAACAGATGAAATTCAATACAATCTTGATTATATAGCTAATTTCAAGAGAAAAACACCCAAAAACCCACTGAGCTACACACTGGGCTGGTGTGTTGAAACGACTCGCCATGTTTTGGACGAGGCGTTTTCATTGAGAACGCTCCAACCAAACATAGTGATGATTTAGACCAGGGATGTCAACGTCAAATACATTAGAGGCCAAAAATTCTAATTTGCTGCAAGCCGACGGCCAGACTGGTTAAATGTTTATTAAAACATATTAAACGGATGTATTTAAATTATTGAACCAAGACCTGACAGTGTACTGTATAGTATTTTATGATCAAATGAATGATCCAATATTTTTGTGTGGCCTTGTCAGTAATTTCAAGTGAAAACATTTTTCCACAGACTCAGACTTCAAAGAGAAAACCCATGTCCTGAACATTAAATAAATAATCCATATTTTCTTCTTTGTGTGGCCAGTTCTAATACTAATCAAATACAGTATCATCCCGGTGGCCAAGATAATTCATTTGCAGGCCGGATCTGGCCCCCGGGCCTGGACTTTGACACCCATGACTTAGACCAGACTGCTTTAGAGCCTATTATGTGCATGTGGGTCAGAGGGAGAAGGTTATCAAAAGGAACAATACTTCATGTATTTGTTTATTTGGGTGGGGCCATGTCAGCTAATGAACAGCAGGTGATAGATAGATAGACATACAGACAGATACAGACAGACGGACATACATGCATACAGACAGACAGACGGACATACAGACAGACGAACAGACATACAGACAGACAGACAGTTAGACAGATACAGACAGACAGACAGACGGACAGACAGACAGATACAGACAGACAGTTAGACAGATACATACAGACAGACAGACATACAGACAAACCGATACAGACAGACAGACAGACAGACATACAGATACAGACAGACAGACAGACAAACAGATACAGACAGACAGACAGACGGACAGACAGACAGTTAGACAGATACATACAGACAGACAGACATACAGACAAACCGATACAGACAGACAGACAGACAGACATACAGATACAGACAGACAGACAGACAAACAGATACAGACAGACAGACCGACATACAAACAGACAGACAGATACAGACTGACAGTTAGACAGATACATACAGACATACAGACAGACAGACAAACAGATACAGACAGACAGACAGACCGACATACAGACAAACAGATACAGACAGACAGACAAACAGATACAGACAGACATACAGACAGATATAGCCAGACAGACAGACAGACAGACATACAGATACAGACAGAGAGACAGACAAACAGATACAGACAGACAGACAAACAGATACAGACAGACAGATGGACAAATACAGACAAACAGATAGTTAGATACAGACAGTTAAATTGATGGATAAAGATGAGAACCATTATTGATCCCACAGTGGGGAAATATTGACGTTGCACCACACATACAGGACTGTAGTACATGTATAGATGGATAGAAAGATGAATATTAAGTGATAGATATGGAGAGAAATAGATAGATTGATATATTGAGGAAGAGAGCGCGAAGTAGATAGATACCTGGTTGATGACCCAGGACATTTTTCTGAACAAAACAAAATATAAATAG